ATTAACAGAGGTGTAATTTTGACAAATACAAGAACTTTTAAACACTACGGTTTTGCTTTAAATTCAACAGTAGTTTCATTTCTCCTTATAGAAAAGCGTGTTTGGAAACAGTAGAGTGTGTTTTAGAAATTTAATTCCCACAAATCATTGAAAGGCTTTAAGTCCAAGAACTTTGGAAATTATTTGAGTTTCAAAGTGGTACATAAGCCTGAAAATGTAAATTGAATATGCTGGTTGTATACTCTAATTAATGATACCCATCAGCTGCAAAAGAGATTTATATGGTTTTGAAGTCATGAACTTGGTTATATTTTAGAACATCAGATCTTTCTCTGCCAAAGTCACAGTAACAACTAAGGTTTGGCGTCCTTTCTGTCTGTTTACCTCCCCACCAACTCCAAAACACTGAGAGAAGACATTGAGTAGTGACTGACCACCAGACACTAATTTCTCTTGGTTCCTGACTTAACCATATAGGAAGGGCAATATTTATATTTGCTCTCAGACTCACTCTTCCCTTTCATCACTTTCTTTTCTCCCTCACTAGACTAAATTGCAAGTTGTTATGTAACTATTGAATCCTTTATAAAGGAACTTCCAAGTTTGCTAAAAATTTTTCCCAGCTGTCTCATTAAAATTTTTTTTTTTCCAGAGAAGTTTCTGTTTTGGACTCCAAATATTCTTTTCTACTCTCTTCTATTCTATTCTAGTAGCTCTCATCATTGAAAAATAGAAATTTCTCAGTAACTGAGCAGTAACTTATAATCTGTAAGCTCAAAAAATCCTGCCTAGGAACCTTTTTCACCAGTGTTTAAACACTTATATGTAGGGGAATTCAGTTTTGTATCCAGACCATTGATTTTTGCCACAAGGTAATCCTTAAAGGAGAAAAAAATAGCCTATCAGGGTTAAGTGTGTTCTGCTTACTTTTACTGAGCATTGTAAATCTAAAGAGAGAAATGCAGTCTTGAAAAGATTTACACAATAAGAAATAGAGAGTAGCATTAATATATTTTGTTTTCATTAATATATTTTTAGAATGACAAAACTTCAGATTCAAATTGGCTTTTTGAATCACCACACATCAAGGAAGGCTGAGATTATGAAATACAGATAAGAAAGTCAACAAATGGAAGAAATTGTATCTGAGAAACTATGTATAAAGGCCATCTGTAAAGGACTTTAAAATAAGTTTGTTTCCTAACTTAAGAGAGATAAAGGAGGGAACTTCATCAGTGAAAGAAGAATAAGAAGTTTTAAAACTGACAACTATGAAAACCCCAATCGGAATTTCTAGAAATAAAAATATATAATTAGGAACTCAGTGGGCTGAATGGTAGACTGGAGTCAGCTGATGCGTAGTGAATCAGTAAGCTAAAAGATCTTACTGAGGCATTCTGGAATGCAGCACAAAAAAATAAAGAAACGGAACGTATGAAAGAAATGTTAAGAGAAATGGAAAATAGACTCTGAAGTTCAAAGTGCTGTTTGCTAGGAATTCCAGAAGGAGAATAGAGAATGTAGGAAAGGCAATGCCAGAAGTAATAGTAGCTGAGAATTTCCCACGATTAAAGAAAGAGAGCACTCTGAACTGGTATCTTGACACATCATAATAAAACTGTAGAACAAGAAGGATAAAGAAAAAAGACCCTAAAAATTCCTAATAAGAAAAAAAACAGATTACCTACAAAGGAATATGGGCTGTAATAAGATAGTAGAACAGTATCTTCCTCCTGGTAAGGAAAAGTAACTGTCAACCTAGAATTTTATGCCCAGCCAAGCTATTACTTAGGTGTGAAGGGAAAAAATAAGAACATCAGAGACAAAGGACTCAAACATTAACAACTGTAAGTCCTTACTGAAAGAACTTCTACAGGCTGTACTCCAAGAAAAATGAACTTTAAAAGAAATAGCAAGTGCCCAGAACAGTGGTGAGCAGAGAATTTGGTAAAACATATTGATGACTGAGTAATTATTGATTGGGAATAAATAAGTTTCAATTTATTTTCAAATCAAGGTAGAACTAATCCTGGATGATGATATGAAGATGACAGAGAAGTGAGCATGGTTGTATATTTGGGAGTGAGAGGGAGAGCAAAGGAAATTGAAGGGGCAACTACTAGCAAAATACATGTAGCATGTGCAGTTCAAAATAATGGAGTGGGACAAAAGGAAACTTGATGAACACAACAGAAGGCAGACAGAAGAGAAAAAGATATTGAGATATACCATGGTAAAGAAAACACAAGTGCAAATATATCAACAATCAGGTTGTGCACTGTTTGCAAGAGTTACACTTAAAATAGAAATACCTCAATGTGTTTAAAGTTAAGGTGTAGAAAAAGATGTACGAAGCAAATCTCTATCATTTCATACCTGGATTCAACTGCCTTAGGCTCCAGTCTGGTCTTCCTGCTTCTACTCCTCCCATTGCACTCGCCTGTCCCTGCCACTTCTCCTGCTGTTTTCCAAACAATAACCAAAGTGATCCTTCTAAAGTGTAAGTCAAGTTACACAACTGGCCTTTGTTCAAACCCCTTCTACCTAGGATAAATTCAGAATCCTTGCTAAGGCCTGAAGGGCCCTCTGTGATCTGGCTTTCCCAGGCTACCTTTCTGACTTCTCTGACCACCACTCTCCCCACCTGTCACCCTGATGTACCCACACTGGCTGTGTTGCTCTTTCACAGCACACCAAGCTTTTTTCCACTGCAGGGATTTGTACTCACTCAGTCATTCCATTCAGATCTCTGTTAAAGTGTCATCTCCTAAGAGAAACCTTTTCTGACCACCCTATCTACAGTATCACTTCCATCAACATCTGATTACCTGTTTTCCTTTGTAGCACTTAAAGCTATCTGGCATAATATATATACATTCATTGACTTACTGTCTTTCTCACTAAAATGTAGGCTTCTTAAGGTCAAGAACTTGGTCTTTTTTACATTATATTCCCTGGAATAGTGCCTGGCACATGGTCGGTGCCTAGTTCATATTTATTGCCTATATGATATATAGTAATGTTATTCAATTTTAAAGAAGAGGAAACTGGGGCATAATGAGATTTAGTAATGGGCCCAAGTTCTCGTACTGGTAAATGGTGGGGCTAGGATTAAATAAATACTAACAAAAACAGGTAGGCAGTATTGATAATCAGAGGCGATAGATTTTACGGCAAAATGGATTAGAAGGAAGAATGAGAAATGCTTCATGTGAATTAAGGAACGATGCAACAAGAAGTTTTAACCATCATGAACCTGAATGTATCTTCAATATAGCTTCCATATTTTGAGGAGAAAGAGAGCAAAAATTGACAGAACTATAAAGGGAAAACCATGGTTCAGGTAGGAAACTAACCACCAGAGTAAGAAGGTGAAATAATGAGACACTATAAAAAATTTGAATTGCACAGCTAACAAGCTCAATCCTAATAACTGCACATTCTTTTTACACATATAAAATGTGAACAAAAATAGACCATGCTCTAGACCACAGAGGAACAAGGTTATGCAGAACATATGTTTAACAACAACAAAGCTCTCAACAAGCTAAGAGAAAGCCATATAACCCATGAGAAAAATGGGTAAAGGATAGAAACGCAATTCTCTAAAGATGTACGAATGGTCAAAACATAAAAAGATGCTAAACGTCACTAATAATTAGAGATTACTAGTACAGAATGGTATCATTTTTCACACCAGCTAAATAGTAAAAAGTAGAATAAAAACGTTAAAGCAGGTGATGATATTAAGTGTTGGCAGGGCTGTAGGGTAAAGAGTGCTCTTAAATGCTAATTGTGGATTGTAATTAGCTATAACTCTGCAGGGTAATTTGGCTTTTTCTTTTAACTTTACAGCTTGTACCCTAAAATCTGCCACTTCTCAGGCCCTTCCCCTGGAACTCTGATTTACTGGATCTGAGCAGGGCCTAGATTTTGTAGCTTTAAAAGTATCCCAGTTAATTCTTATGCTGGAAGTTTGGGTAACAGTTTAGTAGGCTGTTTTTCCCTACATTTAAAGGTGTCTTAAAAGAATGATAATGTCTACTGAGCAGATTTAACAGGAAGACAAAAGTAACATAGTTATGGGAAAGATCTATATGTATACATTTCATTGATATTTATATAGTAAGAACTGATTCTGCCACCCCCCCATCAACTGAAAAAAATCTTTTGGAGAGAGTCTTTCTACAGTCATCACCACAAGGAGCAGCAGTACATTTTGGTGCAATATATGCTATGTCTAAAATGTTAACTTATTATTAGAAAACTGGATAATTATCTAGAACTTTAATTTCATAATAGTGGTCAGTTTTACATAATTTAGTTAGCCTCTTAAAGACTGCATTTGCCATAATAAGAGCAAAGAAGAAACATAAACTTGAGCCGTGTTTTTCCACTCTTCAAAAAAAAGCTAGTGGTTTTCGCCTTCCCATTGCCTAGTAATGCATTGAATCCAAACCCACCAGCGCGAATACAGGGCTCCTGTAATTTGGCCTTTATCCGGCTGTATCTCTGGGTTCCTCAACATGAATTCTCTTCTTATGTGTTAAAAGGTATACTCATTATCCCATAAAAACCCTTCTTCCGACCTGAAGGTCCTCTTTCCTCCTACCCTAAATGGGCTAAATTCATAGTCCAGCTGAAATCACAACACTTTTGGGAGCCTTTCCAATCAGAACTAATGTCTTTTTTTTTAATTTCTCTACTTTTAAAACTCCTATATCATTTATGGATTGTTCTGCTTATTTTGGTATTTTAATCATGTTATGCTTATTTGGGATCTTGTTTTGCATTTAATTATAAATGTGGTGTGTCTTGTCTGCTTACCTATAATATAAGCTCCCTGAAGATTGCATTATTCCTCCAGAGACTGTATAGCACATAGAAAGCCTGAGTAAAACATTTGCGGAATGAATAAACGATATATGTTCATTGTAATAAAGATAATGGGGTACTTGTTCAAATTTTGGTTTTTTTGTTTTTTTCATTTATTTTTGCAGTTTAGAGTGTTTATATCTTGGAGGAAACTTCATCAAAGAAATCCCGCCAGAATTAGGAAATTTGCCTTCTCTAAATTACTTGGTATTATGTGACAACAAAATCCAAAGTGTGCCTCCTCAGCTTTCACAGTGAGTATTTTCAGGCAGTTTATGTACACACAGAGATACGTGCTTAGGAATTATCATCCTGCATTCACCCACATGATTTGTATGTGGAAAAGAATTAAGTGTTCTCAAAGTAAATGATACATGAGAATGAAAGTTCTGAGGTGTGTTATGAATTGGGTGACTTATTTTTAATTTTACTTTTAAATGCTCTGATATATTCCTCAAAATCGTTGAGCCTCTTTTCTTTTTTTTATTATCTTTTTAAAATTTTATTGACGTATAGTTGATTTACAATGCTGTATTAATTTCTGCTGTACAGTAAAGTGATTCAGTTATACATACATATTTTTTTTCATATTCTATTCTGTTATGGTTTATCACAGAATATTGAATATAGCTCCCTGTGCTATACAGTATGACTTTGTTGTTTATCCATCCTATATATAATAGTTTGCATCTGCTAATCCCAAACTCCCAATCCTTCCCTCCCTCACCCCTCCTTCCCCTTGGCAACCAGAAGTCTGTTCTCTGTCTGTGAGTCTGTTTCTGTTTTGTAGATAGGTTCATTTGTGTCGTATTTTAGATTCCACATATAAGTGATATCATATGGTGTTGGTCTTTCTGTTTGTCTTACTTCACTTAGTATGATAATGTCCAGGTCCACCCATGTTGCTGCAAATGGCATTATTTCATTCTTTTATAGGGCTGAGTAGTATTCCATTGTGTATATATACCACATCTTCTTTATCCAGTCATCTGTCGATGGACATTTAGGTTGTTTCCATGTCTTGTCTATTGCAAATAGTGCTACTATGAACATAGAGGTGCATGTATCTTTTTGAATTATAGTTTTGTCTGAATATATTTTCAGGAGTGTGATTGTTGGATCATATGGCAACTCTATTTTTAGTTTTTTGAGGAACCTCCATACTGTTTTCCATAGTTGTTGAGCCTCTTTTCTGTAATCAAAAATAGAGTATTACTTTGGCATAGATTCCCCAAGGTTTTATGGGATTTTATTGATTTATATTTGATATGAAGCATTCCTATCCTAATGAGATAATGTGAAGGATCTTTATTCCTGTTGCATTTGAAATCTTTCCTTTTTTAGGTATCTGAATGATAAAGCATGCCAAAAAAAAACCCCTTTAAATCTAGCATTTAAATCAGCTAACACATCAGAATACTCTCTAAGTATTTTAAGCTCTCTAAGATTCCATGGGCAAAAGTCCTTCATGACATATACAAGTATGGGCTCTAATTTAGTTTCAGCACCTTTTAATTTTACTTCCATTGACCTTAATCTTAATTGCTCATTCTTGCGGGGAAATTGAGTCCTTCCCTTAACTTTCTGAGTAGTTTTCTTGCTTATGGTGGTTGATTTTTGTATTGCATTCATTCTAGGTTGCATTCACTTCGTTCCCTCAGTCTTCACAATAACTTGCTGACATACCTGCCTCGAGAGATCCTCAACCTTATTCACTTGGAAGAATTGAGTTTGCGAGGAAATCCATTGGTTGTTCGTTTTGTTAGAGATTTAACGTATGATCCTCCAACTCTCCTGGAGTTAGCTGCACGGACCATTAAAATTCGAAATATTTCCTATACTCCCTATGATCTTCCTGGGAATCTTCTTAGATACTTGAGTTTAGCCAGCAATTGCCCAAACCCAAAGTGTGGAGGTAAGTTAATTCAGTGTCCTTGTTTCCCATTCATTTAGTTACTTTTAAATTAATGATCTAAATGTTGTTTTAATTAGCTGTCTTCTTTCAGAGAAAGGCAGTTTGTTTGTTTGCCTTATTTTACCCTTTTACCAGAAAGTAAGACATTTCACCCTCTCTGGATTCCTTCCTTCCTTCCTTCCTTCCTTCCTCCCTCCCTCCCTCCCTCCCTCCCTCCCTTCTTCCCTCCCTCCTTTTCTTCTTTCTTTCCTTATTTCTTCTTTTCATGGTACTTCAGGATTCATACACAGGGAAAATACCCAGAAAGTCTCATCTTTCTTGGAACTGTCATAGGATAAGGTAAATTGGTAACATGAGAGGAAACAGAAAGAAAGCATAAACAGTTCTAATTGCTTTAGAAGAGTCTCTAAAATGTTTGGCCACCTTTCATATTTATTTGAAGGACATTTTCTTAGACTCACCATTCTGAGTGTCAGGTACCTTTATAGAGTACAATTCAAGGTGTACGAGAATAGGCTGAATGTGTGCCAGTTTCAGAATATACCCTGGAATTCTCCATTCTTTTAAATCCATGCTTCAAAATTTCTTGAGTTTAGAGCATTTAGAGAGAACTAAACAAATAATATAATGTAAGACAGTGCAAAGTAGGAATCCAAAATACTGTTGGAAACCAAAGGAGGGAGAGAGCACATTTATTAGATCTGGAAAAGATGAGACAATTCTTGAAGTATGAGTTGAATTTTGATATGGTTTGATTGAGGATAGAAGACTTTTCAGATGGAGAGAGTAAAATAGGAAACAAAACAATATGGGGCAGAATGTTGGTTGAGTAATAATTTGGTTCAAAGGTACAGTTAAGGGAGTAATGAGAGCAGAGTAAAAGATACATTGAGGCCAGATTTTGAAGGGCCTGAAGTGCCAGTGTGTGGAGGGGAGTTGGTGAATGATAGCAGGTCATTCTATCTTGGCTCTCTCATAAAAGACTACTTTTTAAAAAATCCAATTTAATGGGGGTACAGAAAGGTTTTTATTATTGTAGGATAATTGTAGGTGCCAGGGAAATGCTGCATAAATATTATCAGAGCCAGCTGAGGTTTTCCCCAGATGTCCCGTCAGGCCTTGAAAACTGTTATAATGTTAAACAGAGAGAAGGTGATTTAAGTTTCTCAAAGAATATTAAAAGGTAAAAAAGATACTACTAGTTTAAAAAAGAAAAATGACACTACTCTGAGCCATTTCTGGCCATTTACTTTTAGAAGTAGAGACTGCCGTGCCAAGTTAGAAGTACTTAGATTTTCTCTGTGAACTCTCCTTCTGAAGTTGGCTTTAACAGTGGCAAGAGACAACACTCTCACCAGACCTTCAGGCTTCATAGTCTGTATCTAATCTCTTGGAATCTATCCTTTTCTAGAAATAGACCTCTACAAGAAGTCTCTTTTCTCTCTTAAATGGTTTCTTTCTTTCTTAAATGAGTTCTTTAGTATACTGCTGTGTTATTTGTCTTAGGAACTAAAATACTTTTTAAATTATTAGCTTAAAATTTTGTAATATCTGAAGTGAATTCCCCCTCAGATTCCCTAGTTACTGAACTCTAAGTTAAACAAAAGTAATTTTCTATTTTGTGAGATATTGCCTTTGTATAGTCTGAGATCTTACAGATGACAAGATAGTATTATACTATTTTAGCTCTTGGTAACTATAATTATTTTATTACTTCCATTTGTTTCAGAAAGCTAACTCATTTGGGGGGATTTATTGTTAATGATTGATCAGTTTACTGAATCTGTCTACTTTTCTGAATTGTTCGAAGTAACATACCATGAATTTCCCTTTTTAAACTATGAATTATACTTACTACAGGATCAAAAAATTAGAAAGTTAATGGAGAAGTAACAGAAAAGAAAATTAATAGGAGAAAAATTGTTTCTCCTTTGCTTGGACCACATCTTTTTATTTTGTTCCCTTATGTGATATACAGAGTAGTTGGTGCCAGAGGAATCCTAGGTAGAGTATAAAGGTTGAGATTCTTCTCCAGAGAGTTGATGGGACGCAGGGGTCTAGGGGTTCCGGTTATACTGCAACTATTGTGACAGCCTTCATGGACTAGAGATGTGCAATATCTAGTAGGAGGAGCAGCTAGAAGCCCACGAAACAGCAACCTCTGCTTTCCTGTCATCTCTAGCTGTATTTTTACTTAGCTGAAGGGCCACAGTTCAGGAGCACTAAATTAGGACTCAAAAGAGCTGAATACTAGTTTCAGTTTACTTAGCAATATATAATTGCATGAAAGTCAAGTGAGATCAGTAGTGAAACAGCTTTGAAGCTGTAGATTTAGACCCTGTGGAAATAGGATGGCATTTTGTTACTTTTAATTTTTCTTTCCCAATACATAAAGACAGGGGTACTAAAAGTCGTCTCCTTTCTGCAAATTTTGGGTATAACAACTAATTCTTTAAGATCATTATCAAGACTCTAGGGTAGTACCAAGGAGGGGCTCGGGGGATGGAGAAAGGGCACTTTAGGTATCCTGTAATCTCCATCAACCACTGTCCACCAAGTCACCCAGAGAAAACAAGCCAAGTAAATAGTGTCCTTTTTTTGTTTGTTTTTTGTTTTTTGCGGTACGTGGGCCTCTCACTGTTGTGGCCTCTCCCGTTGCGGAGCACAGGCTCCGGATGTGCAGGCTCAGCAGCCATGGTTCACGGACCCAGCCGCTCCACGGCATGTGGGATCTTCCCGGACCGGGCCACGAACCTGTGTCCCCTGCATTGGCAGGCGGACTCTCAACCACTGCGCCACCAGGGAAGCCCAATAGTGTCCTTTTAACGCCAGCTCTCTTTAAGATAAATCTCCTAGCCTTCTCTTTGTAGTCCATCCTTAAGACCTTCCAGTATTTCTATAAACAGTTATGGGAGCAGCCACTACCTCTGCTTAAGATTCTCAAAAGAGAAGACTATAAGACATTTCTTCAGAATGCTGGAGATAGGGTTGAAAAAGAAAATGTGGGTCTTTGCTTTGTAATGATTACTTTGTCCTCATTCCTTCTTCTCTCCAGGAGTCTACTTTGATTGCTGCGTCAGACAAATTAAATTTGTGGACTTCTGTGGGAAATACCGTCTCCCCCTGATGCACTACCTGTGTTCACCGGAATGCTCTTCCCCTTGCAGCTCTGCCTCTCACAGCTCCACATCCCAGAGCGAATCTGACTCAGAAGATGAAGCCAGTGTGGCTGCACACAGAATGCAGAAAGTTCTTCTTGGTTGAAAAGGGAAGCAGGGTGGTGTGAAACACTAAAAGACTGAGCAGAGGTGGTTAGAAAAGAGAATAGACTTGGAAGTTCACTAGAAACCGTACCTTCATCTTAAGTGTCCATGACGGAGTTGGAGATGGTGTAAAAGATTTTGTGTTTCTAGCCATTCAGCAGGAATGAGTCCAGTTCCATGTTTGGATTCTTTTAAATTCACTCTGAATGGCAGTTTCAGATTTAGCTGATTGTTTGCAGTTTTCACTCAAGTTTTGCATGAATCACACAGCAGAATGGAACATCCTGAAGAGCAGTGCTATAATAAACCATGAGTGTTAACTTGTGATAGTTGATATGAAGATAGAAATGATCAAAGATGTCATTTTTACCAGAGTTGTCCTTGAGTTTAGGTTGAACACTATACCGTAACAGGATTAGCCCTACATTCTTGTATTGCCCATATGTCTAGATTACAGAGTTATTCAGATAAGCTCACAGATGGTTACATAGGACCTAAACCTTTCTCAGCTACTGACTGGTAAAGTAAGGGATATAACTTTCATGTGGGGTTTTAAAACTCTTCACTTCTGCTCCTTTGTTCTATACGATTGTTGTTACCCTTGTATAATCCAGCAATGACTGTAATAGTGCCTTAATCATAACAAGGATTTAGAAATTTATTCAAGAAATGATACCAGAGCAGCCTATAACCTGACATACTATGCAGAACACTTTAAAATATGCTTTAATGGGACTAGGTAAACAGCTGTATATCTGACATCTGAGCTCATAGCCACCTTAACCTCATTTTTTGTTTAAACAAATCACTTTTATAATTAATGGGAGGCCACGATCTTGATCAGTCTGTTCATCATAAGACAGAATAATAGTTTTGTTTTGTTTTTGTGGTACGCGGGCCTCTCACTGTTGTGGCCTCTCCCGTTGCGGAGCACAGGTTCCGGACGCACAGGCTCAGCGGCCATGGCTCACGGGCCCAGCCGCTCCGCGGCGTGTGGGATCTTCCCAGACCGGCACGAACCTGTGTTCCCTGCATCGGCATGCAGACTCTCAACCACTGCGCCACCAGGGAAGCCCAGAATAATAGTTTTTAATGGAAAAATCTGTCAGATTTCTTTTAACAGAAAAGAGATGTAAGATAGGAAACTTCTTTATGTCTTGCGTTAAAGGAGTGGGAAAATGATTTTAAAGGTTTTAGCAGTCCAGTATGACTCCTTTGCCTGTGTGTACTGAACTGTAACTTCCTCTAATTTTACAGAAAAACTAGAGAAACATTACAAGTGAAATAAAATTGGGCACAGCAGTCATTGTGTTTTTACACAATAGAACAGTTTCCAAAACAAGTTTAACCATGGAGTAGTTTTTGAAAATAATATATTGATAAAATATTTTAAATGTATTAAATATACCCTTAAAGTACAGCAGAAAAATGGTTTCACAAATTGCCAGTAGAAATGACAAATGTTTACTAACTAGTATGCAGTAAAAATTGAGTAACAGTACAACTGTAAGTTGACATTGTAAAATAAAATACATAGCACACATTAGCAATCGTTAGCTAACTAATCTGTAATAACGTAATGGTTTGTTGGTAAATACTACCTGTAGAGTAATACAAAGGTCAGAAACACATTGGAACATCAGATGATCTCCCTTCTGACTTCTGGCATTCATGACTGGGGCACACCATTTCCTAAAAGCAAGTTGTATAATAATGATATGTACATATGTTAGGTTTTTGTCACATATATTTTTTATTTTAGAAGAAAATATACTGTAGGATAGTTTGTTTGTTTATTATATGTTAAATCATGAAACATCATGAGAGTTTCATGACTGCAGTTGTGAAACGCTGCTATAGAGTGATTCCCTTCACTCTGTTGTAATAAGATTCTTTTTTCCTTTTGATCCAGAAATTTTCTGACTATGTCTGTAGAAGTAATGTAGTATCTTTCTACTGCCTAGCAGAGTAGTACATGGGTGATTATATCATAAAATGGAGGTAATAAAAAGTCTTTGTTTACTTCTCCATTTGAGCCACAGCAGGCTGCGTATTACAAAATTATAAAAGATAAAAGATGATTTAGGCAGTGCCTAAATGGCAAGCCCAAAGTGTTTTGTAAGTAAGTGATTTAGGTAAGATACATAAAATATTTTCATATAAAATAATGTATTCATAGTAAAATAAATTGATAGGAGCAAATTTTTCTGGCTTAAATTCCTCGGTTTACTTCCTAATTAATTACCAGTTTGATCTAAGTAACAGCTTGGGTAATCTTCTAAGAGTTAGTCTTTGTGAAATAAACAGGTAGATATGTAAATAGATGCTTAACCTTGCCAGAAGATACACTGATTGATCTTTTACAGATGTAAATAGATCCAACCAGAAACAGTTTCTAGCCTTTGCTGTGTAATGTAGATATATACATTGTATACAGCAAAATGTCTTTCAACAAAATGTTTGTTATGCTTCTCTATATGTACATTTGAAAATCTCTGATCAGTATGCAGCTCTCTTTGGTGACTTTTACTGAAGTCTACATTTTAGCTGTTAGTTCTATCTTTTTTTTTATCTTTGACCTAACCTTTTATAAGAGCTGCTAATAATTTCTAAGCTTTTCCTGAGCTGCTAATAATTTCTAAGCTTTCCCGTTTCTTTTCTCTACCTTCCCTGTTTTCATAACTGGTGACTGTAGAAATTAACCAGAAGTGAGTTACAGTTCCAGAGTCATATAGCTAACTATGTATTTAAATTGAAAGTCTCTCTAGTTGCTGAGTCACTTGTTTGTGTGTAAGTTTTTGATACTGCTCTACTTGGACAATTTTAGTGACCAAAACTTCTGTGGATAAAACTACTTAACCAAAGCATAAATGGGTTTAGAATGGAATTCTTCAGTGCTAATATTTGGAATTGAAATGGAACATTGAATATTCTTAGTAATCTTTATTCCTAGAATCCAATTCTCTCAGTGTCACCAAACTGAGTCAGTGAAATGGTCCTAGGATTTTAGGAAATAGGAAGATTAGCTACTATAACGTTTTGCTTCCATGGTGCCAGGGATTGGCTGACCTGAGGACAAGCTAGTCAGGGTTCTCAGCATTCTCTGTATTTGTGTAGTAGAGGTAGATCTGAGGGTTACTGTTCATATTTTACTTCTAAATGCTTCCTGGGGGAGTCTCTTACTCTAAAATTCTTGATATTTGGAACTTAAAGTTAACAAATGTAAAAGTAAAGACTTGTATTATAAACTGTACCTCAAACTTGAGAAATTTTTGTACTAATGTAAAGTTAAAAGCAGTCCACACTAGTGCAGGGTAATACTGCAGACCAGTTCTACCAAACATTGTAAATACCAATTTAAACAAAAGAAGACAAGGGAAAGGCTGATGGTTGGAGTGTAAAATGAAAGAAATCTTTAAAAACCACAAAAGGCAGGGAAAGAGAAGTCACCAGACACCCAAGGAGATCCCTGAGCCAAGAAAGTTTTTTAAAGTAATACTGAATTGTTTTGAAATTAAGTGGCCCACTACCTACCATCTGAAAGCCTGTTTATCACTAAATTTCTTCAGTTTCTGCTAGTGGGAGATTGTCCACATCCCTCCATAATGAAGGGCTAGCAAATAATTGGATTTTCTTACACCCAGCCTTGCTCTTTCCAAAGGGAGAAAGTAATACCTCGTTAACCTGGAATTTGTGGTACACCTTTGGTTAATGTTTACCTTTTCACTATGTAAAAGAGAAAAAATACTAAGCAAATGATTACTGCAAATTAAATTTGATCTTAAAAAACATTTTAGCAGTAGCTATTTATAAAAAAAAAGTTATTCTAAATAAGACCCTTTGTGGGCAGAACTTTTTATCAGTTATAATATGTATATATAGTATATAAAATCAGTTAAGCTGCATTTATTTAGAAATACCTAATTTTTACCTAAATGACTCCCTTTATTCTCATCCAAAGTAGAGATTTTATTATGACAGTATAACTATCACTCCCCATTTAGTCCAAAATAGTCAGTTTTGAAGTTGTGTTGAGCATTTAACAACAGTAAAGGCTGCTGTATAGGTTTTAGGCAACGTGACCTGGAATTCATAGTTCTGATCCCCGCTGTACAGAAAAGAAGTATTTGACCTTCACTGTTCCTGTATTAAGCACTATACTCTATAACATTAATCTGATGAATTTAATAGCATCCAATTTTGTATTTTATAGTCATGATCTTTTTAAAGGTAGCAGTGCCTTCAGTTGTGCTTTGAAAGTATGTGCCTTAAATCTTCCTCGCTGGAGCCAAAGTTTGGGGAACTATGTCATTTAATAAGTTGTGTGTGACAGCCTCATGACGCTTTGCTTTGAGTTGAAGGAGAATGACTGTGATCCTGAAGGACTCCTTCCACTAAAACTAGACCTAATGTCTCTGAGTCTAGGACTTTTGGAGAAGGAATCCCAATCATACATACTGTCATAGAAGGATTAGAGTCCCTGAAATAAAATCAGTGAAAAAGTATATTCTCTTTCATATAAAGAAAATATATCTGCTACCACTAAGGGATGACAAGTTCCTAATGAATTCATATTAATAGCATCATATAAAGATATTATTGCCATGAAGCCTAGCACGTTTTGTGCTTTCTTTGTAATACCACGTTAAAAAGGGGGTATGGTTTAATATTTTTGCATGTAAATATCCCCATTCTTTTTATGTCTCTACTTGGTTCATATTTGCTAAGAATTGATGTAGAAAATAACAGTTCACTAACAACAAACATGACACATTATTGAACACTCACAGGGTAATATTGATTTGGGTGCTACTAGACTTTTACCTAGCACTTGTTGGTCAGTCTCAGTTTATCGTAAGGGACAGTATTCAATCTAGTTAATATTAAAATTTGTTAGTATGAAGAAGATTATTTATATACCATTATACTAGAAAGCCATGGTTGGAGAGACTATCTGCATTCAACAGAAGTTACTTTCTTCCTTTTGCTGTGAATAAATTGGGTAAAACTCTTTTATTTTCAATTCCAGTTTTGGGAAGAAACTGGGGATAAGCTTGACATCACTATTGCTGGTACTACAAAAGCATTACTAAATTGGTTAATTCTGTCTACAACTGGTGTTTTAAGAGAATCCTTTCACTAACTTAAATGGTTGACAATGATGTGTTACTGAGAAGGATTATTAACCTCAACAATCACTTTACAACAATTACGGAGCAAATGGTGTGCCTGCAATTGGTGTCTGTTGCATTTCTGAGCCCACTTTGTATTCATGAGAAACAAAAATATAATGGGAGAAATATTTTAACCAGTATTTTAACTTTTTATAAAGTTTGGGACTTTAAAGTATCAACAAAGGATATCAAAAATATATGTACTTTTACTTTAGTCAAATTATTTTTTATTACCTGATTTCTTAATTTTCTGTATTTGCATTCTTGTGACTTAAGAATATCTATATCTGTAGGTATATATATATATATATATTTAAAACAATGGTTACAATAAATGTAATTCAGCAGTGTGACTCAATTACATTTTATTTTGGGGACAAGATATAGTTTATTGCATCAAATTTATGTATTCCCTTGTAATGGTAAATGCTCTAAAAAGAGTATTTAAGCTACTTCAATTCTATACCTCCTTTTTTTCCCCCAGGACACACAAAAGAATGTGATCTAATATTAACCGTCTGTGTGAATTTTGCCTTATCAAACATTGTGCCTTATTTTATTAAAAGTGTTTTGTTGGAATCTAATTCTGTATTCTGGAAAAGCAAAAGTATTTTAGTTTTAATTGACAAGCATTTACTTAAAAAATCTAAAATCCTTACACTGTTGGTTTTTGCCTGATTACTTGCTATACCATTGCTCATCTATTCATTGAATTTTTTCAATACATGAATAATACATTAAGCGTGTATTAGTATTTATACTCTCTGTGCTAGATGCAAAGGATGAAAGATGAAC